CTCTTTTGCATTAGGCTGAGCAAGGGGCTCCTGGGTGAGCTCCGGTGCCAGGGAGTCATGTTCCTTCGTTGGCATGGGTGCTCCAGATGCTATCACGGGACAGAGGTGGCTACGCTGGGACGTCCTTCGTGCACAGAGCTCCTAGAGGCGACCCTACAGAGCAGCTAGAGTAGTGAGGTGGGAGACCCAGGCTACAGACATGTCTGCGTCCAGAACACTGGTTCTCCCAGGAGGTTCTCAGACCCACAGAACCAGCAGCTCTGAGGAGCCCTAGAAACACCAGCTCCCACCTCCGCAGTGGGTGCACTGAATCAGATGCCCTAGAAGGATCCCGGCAGCTGCTAAATGTCCTTCAGGTGGGCTGGCATGTAGCTCAGTGGTACAGCACTTGCCTGGCCTGTGCAAGGCTTTGGGCTCAAATCTTAGCACAATAAAATAGGTAAATAAATACAGAAAAGTAGGCCTAAGTTTCCTCCAGGGAAAGCCTCTACACACCAGAGTGTGAGACCATAATTTAGAATTTGGCCCAGTTTGGGGGATGAAGACCCCAACTCAGAACGTGGCACGAAGTGGCCCCCAGTTGACCAAACTGATGGAAGCAGCGACTGGGGGTCAGAGCATCTGTGCTCAGGTTGGGAATTTACCCAGCAGAGTTCTATGGATCAAAGTCCCCAACCTCAACACGAAGCACGAAGCAGTCCCAACCAGCATCCAAGCCCAGATGGACAGAAGCCACCCTCTGGCTGCCCTGGCCGCTCCCATCACGTGTGGGTGAAAGAGCACCCAGTGAGTGCAGGAGGCCTGGCAAGGACCATGAGCAGCACTCAGCCCTCCCAGGCAGGGCTGGGCCAGATGTGCTGTGGACTGGACACTGCCGTCTGAGAGGCTCTCTGCCTGAGAGTGGAGAAACATCACAGAGGTGCGAGACCAGAGTCCACACAGAAGCCCCTGTCGCCCCATCCCTGCCACGTACATTGAGCAATGGGGAGACCTCGCGCCTGTGGGCCTCCCATGGGACACCTCCAGGACCCCTTGCAGCTGTCCAGAGGCTGTGTGTCTCTGCGGGTGCTGTGGGCACCCTCCTCCCAGCTCGGGCCACGGGATTCCTCTGATCTGGCGCTCCCTCCAGCCGGGATGGCGCCCCGTGCTGCACTGAGCCCCAGGGAGTGTCCCCAGGTGGCCCTGCTGCTGGAGGCCATTGTCCCTCCCCGCCTTGGTGGGCGAAGGTGAGAGCAGGCGACACTCAGGCCTCAGGGCCTGGGGATCTGGGAGCCTCGGTGAGCTGCGTCTATACCACATGTCCAGCCAGGGAAGAGGGCGGGCTGAGACCAGGAGCGGGTGGTCTACCGTACCAGATCTGGAGGCCGTGTCCATCTGTCCTCTTCCCTCCCTTCTACTCCCTTCCTGCTCTTTAGTTTCCTCCCTTTATCTCCTCCCTCCTCCGCTCTCTTCTTCCTGGCTCGAGGCAGCTAGACACAAATATCTCACAGTAGATATTTAGGGATCAACTCTACCACCTACCTCTCAGGCCATAACTGTTATTATAGCCTTTTCTTTCATTTTCCTGTTTTGTTCTGTTTTGTTTTGTTTTGTTTTTGAGATAGGGTCTCACTGCATAGTTCAGGCTGACCTTGAACTCACTATGTAGCCTAGGCTGGCCTCAAACTAATGGCAATCCTCCTGCCTCAGCCTCTGGAGCTCTAGGATTACAGGCGTATGCCATCATGCCCGGCTTATTATGCCCTTTTGTGCTTATTTTTGTCAAAAGTCACTGGGAGAATGAATCGTGGTGTGTGCGTTTGTGTGTGTGTGTGTTGCCTCTCCCAGAGCCCCGCACATCCCCAAGGCCACCTCTGTAAATTCTGCACACCTGACACCTCGTCCACCTCACCCAAGTCACGGACCCGTGATCCTGGCTGTCCTGTGCTGCCAGAAAGCCAGGACAGTCCCAGGAAGTGATGTGAGGTGTCCAAAGGCACAGACGCCAACCAGAAGGAGCCACAGTTGCTGCCACCAACTCTGGGAGAATATGCGCAATAAAATGATGACAGCCCAGGACTGGAACCCAGGGGACAAAACAAACATGCGGGCGCCTATGTATAAGCAAATAGTTGAACAAATAAGTAGGAGAAAGGGGAAAGGTTTCTTTGCAGTGGATTCCAGCGACTGGATGTAAGGCAGAGCAGAAACAGACACCCAGCATCCAACCCACAGGAACAGGTGCTGCAGGTAAGAATCTTGAGTGTGTGCAAAGGTGTGATGAGAGACAAATGCGCACATCTCAGGTTACCTCCCCACGAAATACTGACTAATCGCAAAGAGGACAACTATTAACTTCACAGCCGAGACACCAGGAGCGCCAGGAGCTCAAAGTCCACTTCCTGGAATGAGACAAACTTCATGAGCCTTGACATGATGCATGGGCACACAGCACCTTCTGTGGGATTCCTGCCCAAAATGTGCAGGAATTTGATTGGGAGGAAACATCAGAAAGGCCTGCGTTTAGGGACAGTCTCCAAAACACCTAAGAAGCACTCTTGGAAAGTGCTAGGCCGCTCCAGGCTGGACACTGAGGACGCACAGCAGCAACAGTCATTGGGCTTCTGGATGGATTCGATTCTGGGCCAGAAAAGGACCCTACTGCTGTGAAGTATACGTGGCCTTCTGCCCTGTCTCCTGATAGACAGCTGAGATTCCTGGATCTCTGCTGATGGGTCTTTTGGGTGCCAATGCACTGACGGGGGGGCTGGCAGCTTGTCGATGGGCTGTCACTGGAAACACCAAAGAAGGAGCAGACGAGGGGACAGGACAGAGGCTAAAGGGCGAGCCAACCACCAGTGGCCAGTGATGGAATTGGTAACACCTGTGCAATGAAACCCTCCCAAAGGAGCCAGCTCAGGAGCTTCCAAGTTAGCGGCCCCTCCCACACCTGTTCCTAGGCATCTTTCCATCCAGCTCCTTGCAGAATCCTCTACAATAAACCCGTCCCCATTACACTGAGCCAATCCAGCAGATTAATGGACTACACGGAGAAGGCTGTGGGTGCCCTGACTTGGGGCTGGTGGGCCAGAGGCACAGCTGAGACATCCAGGGGCTTGGGACTCCTGTCTGTAGTAGCGGAGGAGGCAGAGTTGGGGGCTGAGCCCTCAGTCTGTGGAATCCACTGCTACCTGCAGGCAAGTGGGCTCAGAGCCAAACTGAACTGGAGGACGCCAGCTGTGTCCACTGTGGGACTGGTTGCCAGCTGGGTGGGCAGAACCTTCCACACCAGTGTGAGAAATCTACTCTCCCAGGGTGCGTCTACCCTGTGGCTGTCTTCAGAGCACCGGTGCGTGCTGCCCACAGCTAACACCGCCAAGCCCACCACTGATGACTGCCCAGACTGTCCACTCCATGAGGACGGAGCGATGAGTCTGCCCAACACATATTCCCATGCCCGGCAGCACACTGCAGGCAGAGGATGGGAGGGCGGACCCGATGTGCAGTGGCTGCATGGCATCCTCACTCATCCCCTGTCAACCTCTTTTCTCTACTCAGGCTCTCAACTGTGGAAGAAACTCCTGAATTCCCCTTCACCTAGCACCAGCACCTGGGATGTCACCACCACAAAATGTTAACCAAGCCCTCAGGGGCTAAGAGAACCCATCTCCTCACCCCGTGCTAAGGGCAAAACAAGATGAGGCCACCAGCTAAACCCCAGCTGCTCTATGCTAATATCCTCCCGGAATAAGCTGTTACCAGTTAATTTTTAAAAGCCACACCAGAGACCAGTGATTAACAGATTTGGGCTTAATCTTAGCAACGCATTCTAGCACTAAGTTGCAGTCTGAGCCACTGCCCTTTAGCCTGGTCATCATTGGCTCCAGGAGTTTCCAACAGGGCAACACTATTTAAGCTGAAGTCATCGTGAGTTTGTTTGGAGTTTTCTTTTCCCTCCCAATTTTGCTTTTCCTTCTGCTCACCCAGGAAAAGGTGTCAGCAGGGACTGCTGGGTATCAGTGCCATTCGCTCCAGACCCAGCCAGTGCTAACAGAGCACCTGCTGTGGTGGAAACCATGGGTCCTTAAAGAGAAAGGATGCAAACGTATTCCCTAGAAAGTGAGAAAGAGTTGGAAAAGTATTAGAGAAAAGCAATCACATTAAAATGTCAACACTTTGGAATAACAATCCTAAGGAAAAGACAAGTCACATTAGCTCCCCAGGGGAGGCAAACGGAGCAGCCTCTGCCATCCACGGGGAGCCTGCCCGAGAGAACGGAAGTGAGGCGAGGCTCTTCCTCAGCACCTTGTCGAATGTTATTAAGTGTCCCCTATTGCTCACCCTCCCCAAGGAAGCACATGATATCAATTATCAATTCTCCTAAAACCTTGCATTTCACATTAACGCACAGCCATCTATTCACAAAGATTACGGGGGAAAGAAAGAAGCCATTCAAAGGGCAGGAAGCCCCGCTAGCCCAGCTGTCTAGACTCAGGCTCCTTCCCAAGCCCAGACCCGATCCTGTGGAGGAGCCCAGGGGCCCTGGTCAGCCCGGTCAGTCACAGCCTTGAGCTGCTGCTGGCCGTGACTCAGCCTCTGACCTTGGGTCTCTTACATGACCTTGGTGTTCTGGCTCCCTCATTCCAGCTCCCCTCCAGGAAAATGAGGTGCAGTGCCTTAAGAGAGGAGCTCCTGTTCACCTCAATGACCCCATAGACCCAGGCCTGAGCTTAAGACAAGTCTTACTCTCTGGGATGGAATACTCTCAGGCGGGGGGAAGCATCCCTCAGCATCCCAAGGCCCCCAGCAGCTTCCTGCTGCCATCCACCAAGACACACATGTGGCAGCTTCTCCAAAGACAGAGGATGACTAATGCTCACTCGTGGCAACTGGGATCTTCCCGGTTCCAAGCACTGTGACAAACACTTCATGGAGATTATCTCATCCAAGAGTCACAATGGCCCTCTTGGATGTTATAAACAGCCCAAAGTGACACAGCAAACACAGTAGTTTGGCAAGTGATCCCAAGATCTCACCCATGCCCCCTCCCCCAGGATGCAGCCCACTGGCCTCCAAATGTCAAGGTCCCACCACATTACATCTGCCAGAAGATTCTGCGATGACCTGACTCCAGGAGCCACGGGAGAAAGAAGCCCACTGCCATGTCACTGCACCAGAGCCCCACCCACCTGTATCTACCTGTGACTCTTCTGCTGGGGTGAGTGGATTTCCCCTCCTTTGCAATGGAGCTGGCCCACATGCCAACTCATGAAGAACCTGCAGAAGCAAAAGTTCCGTGCATTGCCACCACTGCCGAGGGACAGTTCTCAGCTGAACCGCAGGCATGAGAAGGGTGAGGACACTAAGAGCCACTGGCTGAGCCCAGCCTGGACCACCACCCCACCAGCCTCTGCCCTGGGCTGCTGGCCGCTGGGGTTATAGGAGCCTGGGACACTCAGCCAAGAACAAAACAGACACAATGCCAGAGGTGCAAATCAGAGGGCTTAGCCATGTACACCAGGTCCCCAACTTACACATGAGTTGTGTTCTGGGACAATTGTTGGTAAGCTAGATTGGTTCTTAGCCCGACAGAGTGAGTCTTATTCAGTACACTTGTGAAAGTTCGCAACAGGAATATCCGTTAGGTCAGGCACTTACTGTACAACTTACGTGTGCTGTCATCTTGTCTCTCGAAGCCCCAGCCAGACTTGGAGCTCCCAGGCCCCACACCAAGTGCCCGCACACAGCAGAGCCTGCTGCACCTCTTACCTGGGAGGTGAATCATGAGGATGGGCCACAGGGCCAGGTGATAGTTTGCAACCACAGCGCCTAGCTCACTGGAACCTAGACTATCTTTGTGGCTTTGGCAATGACTGTGTCCTCCAACAGTTACTTTCATTATCTCTTCCCACATTTCAGGTCCTTTTACCGCTACTTCAATGTTTTAAGTCCATCTTCTTTTTTCATGAAAATGAGCTGGATTTTAAAACTAGCCAGTTGTCCCTGAGTCTCCACAGGGATGGGCTCAGGTCCTCCCTTTGATACCCAAATCCACAGATATTCCAGTCAGCATTTGCACAGAACCTGTGCACGTCTTCCCATACACTTTCAATCATTGCTAGATGACTTATGATATCTAATAAAAGGCAACGCTACGTTAACAGCTGCTAAGCTGTATTGTTTAGGGAATGATGACAAGAAAAGTCTGTATTGTTGAGTATATTTGCATTTTTCTAAATATTTTTGATCCAGGGTTGGATGAATCCATGAACACAGAGCCAACTGTTTATGATCTCTCTCTATGGAGAACCCACATTCCTGGTTACACAGAGAGGAAAATCAGGGTAGTGCACGGCAGGGGCCAGGTGGTCCTTGAGCCTGAACCCATCTCAGGAGCTTTGAGCAGACTTCACTGACAAACGCGCCATGGTCAGCAACTGTTCACCTCATGTAACCAAGCCACACGCTCATCTCAGAATCAGAGTCACCTGAGATGATGTTCTCCTCCAAAAGGAAGCAGAAAGATAATCTCCGGCATCTCTTCCCGACTCTATTTAAATACCCAGAACTAGAGATAACAACAGGGAAAAATTCTGTCTGCATAAGGAAACAAATTCAAGAAATAAGGGAACCAAAGTAACAATAACAATGTAGTTCATTAGTATGAACATTGAGATAGTTACTTTCAAAAAGTCTTGCATCTTAAAAAACTGCATACCAACATATAACAAATGTGTTTGTCAAGTCACATAGGCATAGCTCCTGCCCTCTCCTCAGTTCCTGGCAGATTCATTTCAGAGCTGCCAACTAGTCAATGTCAAAGTCTACTGATGTTATGCCCATTAGATAAGGTATGCTGCCAGGCGACCCATCCAAATGACTCCCTTTAACAAACAGGAACATGAGCCCCGGCCCATTAAAGAGGAGGCCTTCCACAACTCCGCAGGCAGCTAATTCTCTGCCACCACCTTGTTGGTTCTCAATGAATAAATCTTGTCCTGGTGGCCATTCTAGTTAAATGAACTGGGAAATGGAAAAACACACACACTTCTGTGTTTCTGTGACTGCGGATGTGGATCTGTCCAGCAGAGTACAGCAGCTGAGAATGAAGATTAAACACACGTCTACTCCATCTGAAGGACAGAGGGCCTTCAAGTAAGATGCAGGGAGGCTGCTGGAGCACCATGCTTACTCGGATTTGGACTCTGAAGCCACTTCTGTCTAAACAGTCATGCCTGGCTTGAAGGAGGGTATACCTTCGGAGAAATTCGAAAGGCAAGTTGCTCATTGTGCAAACATCATACACACACTTACACAAACTGAGGTAGCTACAATGTGGCTACCAATACAATCTTACGGGCCCACCATCACATACGCAGCCTGTTGTCACTGGAATCCTCGTGTAGTACATAACTGCAGATGTGACCACGGCAGGTCCCTCAGCCCTGCTGGCTCTCCAACCCTACCTAGGGGGTGTGGGGAAGATTCGAGGGAAGGAAGAGTGACAGTCCCTAGTGATACAAGAACTGACAACAGGCACATTTTCATTCTGGTCACTGACCACTCTGCAGACTGTCAACTCGACAGGGACAATGACCTCATCTGTCCTGTGCCCTGGATAAATATCATCAAGTGCAATTTGGATGGACATAATGTTTAGACTTGGATTACACGTCTTAGTCCAACCTTTCATTTCTGGGCAGTATCACAAAACAGAAAAATGGCTTTAGCCTCCCCTGAGATTCTTTTCCACCTGATGTTTTGAGTACAGCCTGCAGGTACAGGCCACTCCCAGGGGGGTTCCTTTTGGTCATGTGGTGTCTTTTGTTTTAAATTGACATGGAAGAGAGCCAGGCTCACTTTCCCCCTTCTTTTGCTGTTCTTGTTAGAAGCAGCAAGGCACCAATCTACAAGCAAAAAGCTACATTTCCCACCTTACAACCAGCAGAGGCCATTTGCTGCCCACCTGGACAAGCACGTGTAAATGGTCATCACGAGGTAGGACTCCAGGAAGCCATGGCATGCCTGCCAGTGGGTACCCATGGCTTTCCCTACTTGTCACAACCAGGACGAGGCAAGAGCATCACAAAGCTCCACCCTGAGACCGGGACCCACTGTGCTGTCTGCACTCCTCAGGAAGAAAATTCTCTATCTCATTTAAGCCAGCATCATGTGGGTTTCCCAATACATGAAGTCAAACCAATCCCTAACTGATGAACTCACCAATACTTAAAAATCACATCTCCCATAAAAAGCTGGGTTTTCAGTGCAACTCCTAAAATAATAACTGGGCCACCGTGGGCCCAGCACCCAGTGGCAACAAAATCTACCCAGCAGGGCAGCTCTCTGGCTCCTCTCGAGAGACTCTGACCCCTGTAGACAACGCAGTTGGGGGGAGCCCTGCATAAAAGAGTCCTCTTGAACATGGAACAGCATCCACCTCAGAAGTTAGGAGTAACAGCTTTCAATTGTCTGATTTACTTGAGCATATGCAAACTCTCTCTGCTGCCATTCCCGTGACCTTTCCATCTACCCATCAGTGGTGATCTAGGGCAGTGGTGGTGAACCCTTGGCACATGTGCCACAGCAGACTGTCTGCTTCCATTGAAAGCCCAAAAGGCTCACCATCCCCCTCTGCACATGCTCCTGTTCCCCTCAGTAGGTTTGAACATTAAAACACCTTCCCCGGGTCATTCAAGGGTTCCCTTCCCTGAGACAGTCACAATATATGTTCAAAGAAAACAAAGTCATCAAAGCAAAACAACCTAAAAACCATCCAAATCCCACTACAAGACAAACAATGAGATGAGTCCCATGGCCAGCACTGTACTGGACACTAAGGGGCAGGTCCCCAGTGTTCAACCAGATACAGGCAGAGGTGGAACAGGGGCAGACCCATGTACTCTCCACTATACTCAACTCTATGTCCACAGCCTACCCAGATTTATTAACAAAAGAAGAAATTATCTCAAGGGGATTAGAGAATGTCTGAGGAGGTAACTATCAGCTCAGTTGTCCTCACCCACCTTAGACTTAAGGACAGTAACTGTCACCCTCTTTCATTTTAACAGAAATTGAAGCTGAGAGGGGTGAAGCAACGTGCCCAAGCTCACATGGAGTGCACATGGCAGAGCCAGGACTTGAACTCATCCACCCAATTCCAGGCCAAGGATCTCTTTGTATCTCATTGTTCTCTTGGCCAATGGGACTCATCTAGCAAGGGCCAAGTATGGTACGTTTCAAGCCCTCTGGAAAAACTCACATTATTGAAATACATTGGTCTTGTGAGGGTAAAGAATCCTCTCTGCTTAGGGATTCCCCCTCCAGAGGATGAGATGATCAGACCGAGGGAGGCTGAGGGCCCCTCCAGCTGAGGAGCTCTAAGATAGTCAGTCACACCCTGGCATATACGTCCAACCAACAAGCATTTGCTGGGGAACCATCAGGTTTCCCTATGCAGTGCTAATGACAGAGCCCAGAAAAAAGCAGACAGGCCCTGCCCTCGGGGAGCTTCCAGGCTGGGAACTGCGCCCAGCAAAGCTGTGTGCAAGAGTGGGGTGTTCCACACTATCCAATATGGCAGCCGCAGCCACCTGTGACTGCTAAGCCCTTGAAACGTAGCTCATGGCTAAACATGGAACTAGAATTTTAAATTGCAATTTTTTGCATTTAGATTCAAATTGCCACATGTCACTAAGGACTACTATATTGAGCAGACCACGGCCAAGTCTGTCAAAGGAATCCATGAGATCAAGGGTGACAGGTTAAGTGAAGACACTGAGCTGTGTGATTGAAAGGACCTTGGGGTGGGCTGGGAGAGCCCTCTGCTCTGACTCTGTGGTATCTGATGGGCCAAAGCTAAAGAGCTGCATTCAGTACCAAGAAGGGTGTCCGTTGTCACTGACTCTGTGTGGCACCAAGTGGTATGGGGACAGGTATGGAAATCTCAGCAGCATCCAATCGTTCTCCATGGTGAACATGCAATGCTTTCATAATCAGGAAAAACTGTGAGTTTTTTAAACTCTGTATTTTTAAAGCATCCAGTTTTTATTTTTAATAACCCTAAAGAAGCTGACAAGGTAATTACTGCATAGTTCTGATGCTAATTAAGCCATGGAGATACTCTACAAGGGGCCAGAGGGAGATCCCCAGAACTCCAGAACAAGAGCGCATTCTAGGAATGCAAATAGAAAGAACCACAAGCCAGACAAAGGGGGCTGCACCTCCACTCACCACCCTGGCCACCCCCAAGCAGGGGACCCCTAAGATGTTGGGGAAACAGGAGAGACTGGCCCAGATTTGCCTGTTGGAAAACTTCCTGTTCCTGTTCTGCTTGGCAGGAGAAATGAGTAAGAGGAAATGAAGACCCAAGGCTCAGCACTGAGGTTGTGCAGGAAAGGGAAGGAGGAGGCTCAGCTCCAGGGGTGACAGGCCCGGAACAAGTGGGCTGGAGGTAGGGCGCCGGAGAGGAAGGCATCCAGGGGCGCTCACAATGTAGGTGTGCTGGTGGGGAGGAAGCGCACCCAGCGGGAGCATGGCCCTCTACAGGAAGAGGGGCCGAGCCGAGGGGGAAGGCAGTGGGTGGGGTCCCTGTGCATCCAGCTCCAGCTCTGGGGGAGACAGAAAGTTCTGAAAGGCTTTCCAGGCTCCGAGCTAGAGCTACATGACAGACTTGGAGAAAGGCCGGGGGACTGGCACTTGCACCCACGGATTCTACAAAGGCTTTCAAACCATTTCCTGACCCCGGACAGCGTGACAGTCAGGGTCCCTGTCCAGCAAATTGGAGAGGAAGGATGGGGTCAGAGCTGATGGAGGAAGGGCATGGCAGCCCTTGAGCTGGGGAGGTCAGGGCAGGGCCTCACCCAAGGCACACACATGTCACACACAGAAGTGTGGCAGCGAGAGAGAGCAGAGATTATGACCAAAGTCCAGCCCCAGTGGTTCTCCAGGGCTGGTCATCTGACAGGCAGCAGCCCTCTGGGGCTACCACAGCCCTGCTGAGTCCAGAAACTCTGGGATGGGGCCCACAGTGTGTGTGTGTGCGCGCACGCGTGCACATATGTGTGTGTGTGTGTGCAAACCTTCAGAGGATTCTCACACGCACTCATGCCCTACATCAGCAGTTCTCCAGAGAGTCTCTGGCCCCAGGACACACTTGGTAATGTCTAAAGATATTTCCTACTGTCCCAAAGAGGGGATGGATGCGACTGTCATTAGAGAGTAGAGGCCAGGGGTGTAACCCAACATCCTAAAACACACAGAACGGACCAGAACAGGGTGTGCCCCAGCCACACACAGCAAGGGCACTGAGGCCAAGAAGCTCAAACAGAAGGTTAGGTCCCCACGCCAGGCCTCCAAGCAGAATCTGGACAAAGGTCCAGGGCAAGTTGTCACAAGTGACTCTTGGGACAGACTCTGGTCCTGTTGTCAGAGGACTGAGGAGAGACACTGGAGGAGAGCTCAGAGTGCAGGAAAACAGAGCAAAGAAGGGCCCTGAAGGGAACCCCTGATGCTATGGGCTGGGAAGATAAAGAGGACAGAGAACTAGGAGCCAGAAGAGAGCAGTGTGGGTCAGAGCAGGGGCAGGAAGGCCCAGAGGTGGCCTGGGACCCAATAAGGGGGTCACCATCACATTCCCAGGCCATGGCTGATGCCAGGCACAGCCCCATGCATGGAGGAGCCAGAGGCCCATCTGCCTGGCTTGGGAACAGATGGGAGGATTACAAACCCCTTAGAAGGAAAGCTGCTGGAACATCCCTGACCTCCTTTGACTGTCAACTTAGGAAGACAACCTAACCTGCTTGCATTTACCCAAAAGGTGCAGCTGCAGACAGGACACTACTGGAAGATTGAAGCAGAGGGGCAGCCTGAGGGAAAATATTTCAGTCCTGTCACACAGCCCATGTCCCAGATGGGGTCACCAGGAGAGCCAATGCAGAGCAAAGGCACAAAGTGATGCTCATGCTAAGTAGCAATCAAGGAACCACAAAGTAACACAAGGTACGTTTGATTCTCTTCATGCTAGGGACAAAGAAAGCAAATTCAGGATTCAGATTCAGGTTTTAGCAAGGGTTTGGAGAAAAGGCTGTCATAGATCCTGGAAGGAGTGATGCTCAGTGCATTTTCCAGGATGGTGCAATAGCATGAAGATAAAAAATATGAGTCCCCTGTGGCCCAGAATCCCACCAGCTGGTACACCTGGAGGAAAGCCATGGGTAAGCACAAGGCCACTGATGCAGGAAAGCAATGTCCTGTTGCCAATAATGGTTAAAAACTGGACACAACACAAACACCTAATGGCTAACCTGGGGAAGATGTACACCTTAGAATTCAGTGACTACTCAAAAAAGACAAGGAGATAGATATGGCAGCGCAGAGTGGCAAGCTTCTAAGATCTGGCATCCAGCAGAACCGCACATTGAAGAACTTCACATGTGACTCATTTTCACTTCCCATTTTCCATGCATGTGTAAGTATAAACACAAGGAGGAAGGTTCATAACAAGGGTAACCTCCAAAGCAGGCAAGAAAGAGCTACTAAAACATAGTTAACCTTCCAAGGGAGCTTTGAGTTTTGACTAAGAGAATACTGATGCACTAAAAATGCCTTGAGCAGGAGGGTGAATGCAACTTTGAGCTGTTTTATAAAAATGCAGAGTTCAGGCAGGCATGGTGGCACATGCCTGTAATCCCAGCACTGTGGGAGGCTGAGGCAGAGAGAACCAAAAGTTCAAGTCCAGGCTTGGCAACTTAGTGACTTAGCCTTATCTCAAAACATAAAACAATAAAAAGAACTGAGGCTATAGCTCAGTGTTAAGGCCCTGGATTCGATCCAGAGCACCAAAAGCATAATTCAGACAAAGGAAGCAAGTCTTCTGCTTTGCTTTCTATCCGTTTATCTCACAGCTGGAGCATGGGGTTCAGCATTCAGGGGTCCTGAGTTAGAGCAGCAGGTGGGCAGACGGTGCAGGTCCTACAGGGAGGCTGGACCAAAAGCTGAGACTTTCAGATTGACGACGAAATGACTGAGGTCCCTGTGATAACGGACCAAAACATCAGACACAGCACGAGGGGATCGCATCAGGACCCATGGGTAGCAGATCCTGTCATGCCACTGGAAAAACAATTTTTTTTTTTTTTTGGCAGCAGGGATTGAACTCGGGACCTTGCGCTTGCAAAGCAGGCACCAGAACCACTGAGCTAAATCCCCAGCCCTGGAAAAACAATTTTTAAAAAATAGATCTGAGCAAGACGGACACACACTGCATCACACAGTAGTGAGTCCCCCGCCAACAGAATTGTGTAAGAACATGTGCCCACCCCACCCTTCCTTGGGTCTCTTGGAACTTGAAGATTCTGGGTCTTCTCACCAGAACTCTTCTGCTGAACACAATCCATAAACACCTAATTGCCTGGTGATTTTCAGTAAGGTTCTGCCGCTCACAGATTTAAGCACATCAGTCTTTTCACCTCCAACATCTGCTCGCTGGTCCCATTTCGGCCGTTTGAACCAGAGAAGAGCTGCACGTCCACCCTCCTGTGGCATAACTTAATCACCAGCGGCCAAGCCCTCCCCCTCCCTCCCTGTGGACTGGCAGCAGCCACCTGCCAAAAGCTCTGTTCCCACCCACGAAGGCAGCAATTCACAGACAGCCAAAAAGCTAAGCCCTCCATAATTTCCGCTTCAAGTTTGCTTCCTTTTACTGCCAGGGAGACAAAAGGACCAGGAAAGGATTCTCTCATGAGGAGCCATCCAAGTCCCATAAAGGGAACAATCGTGGATGTGCATCTCCCACACAGGGAAACCAATCCATCATGGAATGTGGAAGGCTTAATCCCCGAGTACTAATAAGAGAATTAATTAAAGCCTTAAGGGTCGGCTCATGGCAGCCTCTTCTGGAAACTCCAAGGAAATTAACTTGCCCTCCCACATGCAGAAAAGCCAGGGATTTCCTCGGCTGGTACCTCAGTGTGATGTGACCAAGTGACACAGTGTCAATAGTCCTAACAAAGAAATCTTACAAGACCCGCACAGGGTTATTGTTCAACATTTCAAATAAGGCTCTCGTGCCCACAGAGCCGCCGTTCCTGGGTCTTCCTGTGCAGTTCCTGCTGCTGGGATGTGTTCCAGGGCAGTGATGGAATCCTCCCCACCAAGCCAGCCTCCACCAGCTGGGTGGATTATTTTTCTTCTCATGAGCACCATTTAACAACATCGAGTCCCCGTCTGGGGTGGTTACATCAAGAAAGAATGGGTCTTCAAAGGGAGGCAATGACAAGTTATACCCAACAGACTCTACTAGGGTCTGTGCTTCTCTAAAATACAAAATTGAGTCCCGCGTGGCTTGACACCAAAACACCAGCTTTGATTCTTTTTTTGTTTTTGAGGATACGTTTCAGAAGCTCAGACTTCTCCCCAGAAGTGAAAATTGCCTTCTGGTGGAGAAAGGTTTTAATGATCACTTTGCTTCCTGCGTCTCCATGGTGACAGGGCGCACACAGCCCACCCTCCTCCCGCCTCATTAGGCCTTTCTTCCTCCCTGGAAAGTAATCAATCAGGCCATACAGGCGCCTTTGTGACCGGTTTATCACCTACACAATCGAGGGTCCCCAGGGGACGGAGGAGTGGGCAAGTCCTTGGAGTTAGAGACCTACAGGGCTCCGTCCCGCGCACCCCCTGTCTCTGGGCTGCCAGCTCTGCCCAGCGCACCTGTGGAGGAGGCGGCGCACCCAGGTGCGTCTGCCCCGCCAGAGTCAGGTGCCCGGCTGAGCCGGTGCAAAGGCCTGGGGAGCGCAGCGCTGCCTGGCGGGGGAGGAGGGCAGAGTGGGGCAGCCCTGGGCGGAGGCGCCCCGGGTCTGCCTCTTCTCCCCAGCCGCCAGCACCCAGGGAAGGGAAGCCCTGGGAGGGGACAGTCGAGCCCAAGGGCCAGCAAGCCGGGCGCTCAGCAGAGCACCTGGTCCACCCGGAACCGGCTGGGTTCCGGACAAAGGGCTCCGCAGCGTGCGACCCCGCGCCTGGGGACCGAGCTTGGCCGAGGAGCGCCCTTAGCCCGCGCTCCCCGGGGCAGGCAGGGCGCGGAGCCGCGCAGTCCCCAAAGCGGCGCCGCCTGCCTCGGCCTCCCCGCCCGCCTGGTTACCTGGGTTCTCGCGGGCGTCCGCGCAGGAGGTGGCCGAGGAGTCGGTGAGGAAGCTGGGGTCACTCTGCGAGCGGCCCCTTGACACGAGGCAGCCGCTCCCGTCCTCCGCCGCGGCCATGGGCCCGGGCGCGGGGAGCGAGGGCCGCGCGGAATCAGAGCATCCGCGGCGGCCAAGGTCACGCCGAGGGGCTGAGGGTGCCTTGTTGAAAAAGGAAAAGAAAAACGGACCAGGAAAGGGAAGGACCCAGAGGAGGACGCCGGGCGGCCGGCCTTCAGGGCGGGGAGACAATGGCCTCGCCGGCTACAGCCAGGCGCATTCCGGCGTGCGCGGCCTCGCTTTGTTATTTATTCGTGTTTTTTCCCATTCCTCGGTCTATATTCCAGGGAAAAAAAAGTTGAACCAGGAAATAAAAACTTTCTTGTCAGTGTTTATTGCATGCTTGGGGCAGGGGGTGATGTCCAGGAATGTCTGGGGGCGCTCCCTCCCCCCACCCCACCCCCCTCCCCCCCGAAAAAAGGGAAAAAATGAGAATCTTTGCTCGTGCAATTGCTTTAATCTGAAAGCGGTTCTTGGAGCATCTGTTGGAAAACATTAGGATTCTCCCATCATGCCCCGCGAGGAGCATGACGTCACGGAGATGGGCGTGAGCAGCAGCGCGGCGCCGGGAGGTGGGGCTGGACCCAGGTTTCCGAGCCTCCTCCCCGCCCAGCCCGCTGGGAAGGAGAAAGGCCGCGGTCCAGTCCGCAAAAGGGGCGGCGCCTCCCGGCTGAGTGCGGACCCCACCCCGCTGGGCCCTGCCCACTGCTCGCCCCGGCCTGGGGCAGGGGGCACAGGCGCCTCCAGAGCTGCCCAAGACGCCGGGAGGAGAGCTCGAAGGTGCCCGCGGGCCGCCTGCGGAGGCGTCCTCCGAGGTGTGCGGCGCTTCCCTCACAGGCCTAGGTGGTGCTGTGGGGTGAGCACAGGAACAGCCATGAACAGAAAGCCCAGTAGAGGGATGGGGCGCTGCGTCACATAGCCTGGCTCGCTGGCAGAGGAGGGGGCATTTCCACAGGTTAGGACGCCGCAGAGCGGGCCGGGGCTTTCCTGAGGCTGCTCCTAGCAAGGCACGAAGTGAGGACCCTGGCATGTTGAATGACACCCCAGTGCGTGCCAAGGGGGAACGAAAAGGTGGGGAAATAGACTGCTCACTCAGCATCAAGCTTTGGGCTCTTAGCAACAGTCCTGTGAGCAGCATCAGTCACCTGCAGACAAAAGATTCATTCATTCATTCATTCATTCATTCACACATTCAAATAGCACAATGAGAGACCCTCGAGAAAGAGCACTTCCAGAACTGCTTCAGAAAGTGGCGGGGATGGCGGGACAAGAGTATCCAAACTGAGGGGGATCCATGGCACTGTCTGTTACCATAATATTTTTCTGGTTTTTTGTGGGGTTTTTTGGGTACCGGGGATTGAACTTGGGTCCTTGCGCTTTCGAGGCAGGTGACAGAACCACTGAGCTAAATCCCCAGCCCTTGTAATATTTTTCCTTAAATGTTTACTGTATTGCTTGATCACACTGCATGCAATGCAGAGCCCCAGCCCTTCTGATGTTTACCCCACAGAGCCTCCCACCCACTGTATCACCCTGTGGATGGCGAGGGTGAAAAACACAAAAGAACAGGACTTGCATTCTGGGAGGCTGAGGCAGGAGGATCACAAGTTTGAACCTAGTCTGGGCAACTCAGTCATTTAGTGAGACCCTGTCTTAAAGGTTTTTAAAAGGGCTGGGAATGTTGCTGAGGGAAAAGGCTCTGGGATCAATCCTCAGTACTAAGAAAGGAAGGAAGGAAGGAAGGAAGGAAGGAAGGAAGGAAGGAAGGAAGGAAAGAAAAAAAGGAAAGGAGAGGAAAGGAAAGGAAAAGAAAGCAAACTTAACATCTCAGCTCAGGAGCCCAAGGTGCGGTAGGCAGAAGATAAGAGAGATGATAATTTATTTTTTTAAAAGTATATTTTAGCTGTAGCCTGCTGGAACAGAAATAAACCCATGACCTACAACCATTTTTTAAATTTATCTATCTATCTATCTATCTATCTATCTATTTATTTATTTATTTATTTTTGGACCAAGGGGTCCAAAAACATATGCTGGAGAAAAGTCAGCCTCTTTATCAAATGATGCTGGGAAAACTGGATATCTACATGCAAAAGATTAAAACTAAATCCTTATTTTTCACCTTGTACTGAAACCAAATCAAAATGGATCAATCAAAGATCTAGATATAAAACCAGAAACATTAAAACTGCTCGAAAATAACATAGGGAAACAGTTGAAGCCACAGACTTCCTGAACAGAACTCCAATGGCATGGGAAATAATAGTACCAAGAAATAACAAATGGGGCCACACCACGTTTCAAAGCTTCCCCGTGGTGAAGGAAACACAGGAGAATCTTTGCTAGCTACACTTCTGATAAAGGATTGTTATCTAGAATAAAGAACTTTAAAAACAGCCCCCGAAGCAAAGAACCCAATAAAAAAAAGTGGGCAAATGACCTGAGTGGACATTTCTCCAAAGAAATGCAAGTGGCCAAAAATTATATGAAAAAAATGTCCAACATCTCAAGCTGTCAGAGAAATGCAGATCAAAACTCTGTTAAGATCCCATCTCAGCCCAGTCAGAATGGTTAGCGTAAAGAATGCAAAACACAATAAATGCTGGCAAGGTTGCCAGAGAAAAGGAGCCCCCAAACCCTTGGTGGGAATGTAAACCAGTACAAGCACTGCAGAAACCCACATGGAGATGCCTCGAATACAAAATACAGCAATGCCACTTGATCTAGCCTGCCACTCCTGAGAGAACCAGAGACGCTGGCTCTGATACACATGCACCCATGCTAATGGAGGGGCAATGCCCAGCAGCAAAACTGGGGAAGCAGCCCAGGTGTCTGTCACCAAACGGACAGGTGAAGAAGATGTGCCTCACACACACGGAGCATTACTCAGCCACAGAGAAGAACGAAATCCTGTCGTTTGCACGGAAGAGGGACCTAGAAACCACTGTGTAAAGTGAAGTGAGCCTGGCTTGGAAAGTTGATTATCTCATATTCTCTCATATTTGAGAAACTTAAATAATACATAATAAATTAACTAATTAGTCAATAAAGGAGAGATGACCGAGAACCAGGAAGCAGATTTTTGGAGACAGGGATGGGGCTCATGGGAAAGGAAAGAAAGTGAAGAAGTGGATAACGCGACTGAAAATAAACAAGATATGTCAAGCGCGTGTGCAACTTCCCAAAGCAAACCCCAGCACCCCAGAACATCAACATGCACTAATAATTCTATTATGAAATATATATGTACTAGTAATTATATTTAGTAATATACCAAATAGTATGTATAAGTGTAAATACACACACGTGCAAAGTTATTATGATTATGTGTATTGTATATATCACATAATTATACCTGTAATGATATATGCAAAATATATGTAACATACATAATGTTTCATATGCAGAATATATAATATTACATATGCAAAATAGTAATATGCAAGCTACCATCTCTGAAGGCTGGGCAGGGAGGCAACTCTTCATTGTATTACTCTTTGGCTTTGAGGTGGCCCATAACAAAAGCCTAACTTTTACAAGCTTTCCCAACCCGCCCACTGGCACGAGGAAGGGTCATGTAGTCCAGGACCCCATGCTCCACAAAGTCTACAGAACCCTAAGGGGCTCTCGTGGGTGCCTGCAGATTCGAGGCTGCGAAGGGTGACGGGGGCGACTGCTAATGGGAAAAGGTTTCTTTGGGGGAGGTGCAAGAAATGTTTGAAATATTCTAAACCAAGACCGGGGATCACTTCACAATTCTGTGACTATAACCACTGATTTTTATACTTTAAATGGGTGATAAGCTTTATGATATGGAAATTATTTCAATAAATCTTTTTTAACAGAACTGCCCAAGAGACCCAGGCTGAGTTTCAGAGCCGTAGATGCCTGGGTGCTGAGCATAAGTGCCCTGAACCCATCTGGCTCCACAGGCCGGGAATCGGACGCACGGAGCGGCTGAGGGCTCCTGCCCTGCCCTGCGGCTCCCGCATCAGAAAGCCCAGAGCTGTTCGGAGTCAGGGCGGCCCTGGTGGACCCACCACGGCAGCCTTCAAGAACCGCGAAGAGCCAGGCAGTGTCGTTTCTGTCTTTCAGGAAACACAATGTGCCCAAAGGGAAAGTCCTAATCCTGGGGAAGCCAGGGAGGGTGTCACTGCGAAGGTGACACTGGGCTTCCGGACCACAAGCACACGCTCAAGCACGCATACGCGGGGAGTGGGGGGAAAGGAGCAGCGGAAGGAGCAGTCCCACCCACACTTGCCTCCAAAGTTGACTTTTATTCTCACACAAAGTACAGGTTCAGACACATCCACCCTTCCACCAGTCGCTTCCTGAGCCTCTATTTTGTGCCACATGTACTTAATCACGTCTGCTGTGAGGGGGTTTACAGGGAACAGCACCGGCCACAGAAGAGGACTGGGCTTCGCTGGCGGAGCTGACTCTGGCAGAGAAGACAGAATTCACTAATCGGCGATGGATCGATTGATCGATTCCAAATGGGCTCAGAACACAGGCCGCCTCACCTGCGAGGGGAAAGCCATTCTGGAAATGGGAGGCGAGTGGGAACCGAGCAGAGAAGTACGGAAGAACAGCGCTCCCTCAGGCCAGGGGAGGGCGTGGGCAAAGCCGGGAAGTGGGCAGCCAGCAGCTCTGCCGCCCCTGCCGAGAGGCCCGCAGGAGCTGTGGCCACAGAGGGGCAGGACCCGACGAGCAGCGCGCTGGGGTCCCCGGATGAGGCTTTGGTCCCGGGGTGCTGAGGAGCTCCGGAGGCTCTGGGAGGGGCCGTGGAGCCAGATGGAAGCGGGGAGGCGGGTTGGGGGCCAGCACCCTTTCAGGTGTGCAGGGCAGTGGCCTGGGCGGGCTGGGGAGGCAGAGACAGGAGGACGCTGCGGCAGCGTCCCAGGCTTGCGATGGACGGGCTGTGGGGTGAGAGTGGATCCCGGGCCTGATTCCCCACCCGGGACGAGCGGGGCCAGAGCGGGACCGGGGCTGGCGGAGAACCCCGCTCGCCCGGCACACTGGTGCCCTGCAGCCCCGCACGGCCCGGCCCGGCTGGGACGCGGTGTCCGCCTGCAGCGCTCTCGCCAGGGCCCTTCTCCCTCCAGGCCCGGAGCGCTGAGCCCCGGCAGCCGCCGCAGGACGGGTCTGGGCCGGAGACCTCCGGGTCAACTTCCGGCTCAACTTCCGGCTCAACTTCCGGTTCGTTCAAGCGCAGAGCCGCGGCCCGCAGCGACCGGCCCTGCTCCGCGGGACCCGTGGTCACCTTGCCGAAGGCCTCGGCAGCGTGCTTTCTCCCCCAGGGCCCAGCGATTCCTCTGCACCCTTCCTGTATGAAAGTCTCTGAGCCAGCAAACTTCAGAGGTTCTCCGCCTGGACTCTGAGGGAACCAGAGCGGGAGAGGCTGGGTGGGAGCCGAGTCTCTGCCTCCGGGCGGGCGGCCGCGCCCTCTGCCGGCAGAAGACGGAAACTGCACTCAAAGTGTCCGCGATGGAGCCGACCCTGGGGGCGAGAAGAGCATCCGCAGCCGAGGGGCGAGGTGCGGGGCACGCTGGGGCTCCCAGAGTGGCCTCTGCTGGCCACGCACCCTCCCAGCCTGGTGGTGCCTGCGGGGAGAGACCCACCTGGGGGTCGGGGCTCCAGCGAGGCGCAGGCCGGGAAGCCCTCCACACGCTAGCGTGCTTGGGAGCAGACCCCCTGCCCTGTGTGCGTCCCTCGGGTGCCCCAGCACAGCCGGCTAACGGAGGGGACGTCTAGCCGGGCAGTGGCGGAAGACAGAAGACTGCGCTGAGCAGCAGGGCCGGGGCAGGGATCCCACTGGAAACACGGAATCGGCCCCAGCGTCCCTGTGCATTCGCCATGCACCTCTCTGTGCCTGTCACCCCGAAGCTGTGGCTCTCCGGCGACCTTGTCTTCTACTCAGGCCGCTCCTATGCAGGAAAGGGAGGCGGGCAGCCTTCGGGGCCCTGCAAAGACAGCTGAAGAGAGGTGCAGTGTCCCTGGCGGACACGCACCTGGACCGGGCTAGCTCCTGCCTCCTGCCCCGAGCGTCTCCTGGGTCTGGAGCAGCCGACGCCCAAGGCTCCCACGGTGCCACCCGGAGGGAGGAGGCAGACGCGAAAGGCACAGACGCCGAGGCGGCGCTGTGAGCGGGGCCTCACCCACCGGACACCCAGCTCCTCCACGGGGAGCAGACAGCGTCTCAGATCTTATGACCCTAACGCTCCCGAGGCTGCTACTCACCAAACAGGGCGGCTGAGAACAGGAGCCGCGAAGTGCTCCGGTGCCTGTCCCAGGCCTCGGACCTGCGGAGCCCAGGCACCTCGCCGTCCTGTCCAAGACCTGAGCTCCAGACTCGGGGCTTCCAGCGCACCTGCCTTCCTCAGCGGACTCGGCATCAGCCTGCATGGCTCAGTGCCCTGCGAGCCCCTGATCTGATGAGGAAGCGGAGGAGGAGGAGGCGGCGGCCGGATTTTGCAGAGCCCTACAGTTTACCGAGGACTTTGGTGCCTCGATAACAGTGCTGAGTTAGGAATCATTATCTTTCTTGTACACAGGGTGGAGCTGAGGCCCAGCAAGAGCTCCTGACTTCCTAATGGTGCCATGTCTAAGGGGACAGGAACAGCAGAGCCGCATCCCAGGTGCCCGCCTATCCCTGGGGCCTCCCCACCTCACTAACACCCACCAGCAGCCCTGGCTCTAAACACAGTTACTCATTCAACAAATGCGTGGAACGCTGACTGCACCAGGCCCTGCTCAGCTTGCCTTAGGGCACAGGAGTGTGAAGAACCAAGGTGTGTCCAACGCCACGGGTGCAAAGATTCAGGGAGCTGGTAGGGTGTCCTGGTGGGACTGGGGTGAGTCAGGGGGCTTCTGGGGAGGGGACAGCCATTTCCTCCTGCCTGTGGCAGTGCCGCTGAGGACCTGCCACATGCCAGGGAGCACAAATCTGTGAACAAAAAGCGGCCAACATAGCCAGGCATGGTGGCACACGCCTGTAATCTCAGCCCTCTGCAAGGCTGAGGCCAGAGGATTGCAAGTTTGACCCAGCCTGTGACCCATTATCAAGATAAATTTTTAAAAGGTGGGGGGCGAAGTTCTGTGCAAAAGGCCTGAGTTCTGTCCCCAGTACTGGAAATAAAAAGCTACAAATGCTACCACCTCCTGCCCCTTTGAGGGGCAAGCAGGACTGCTGGCCACACACATTGAGTGTGGTGTCCACAGGTGCACACAGCAGCTTGGCCTTTCCAAGGCCACAGTCTCTGAAGTTTTTAACAATGAGCGTGAGCAGGTGAAAGCGGCTGAATCCCAGCACATGCCCACACAGTGGGACCCACACAACGGCCAGGGCCCCAACACAGGCGCGGGGGTTCAGGGAGAGCAGGCTGCATCTGCAGGAGAGCAAAGCAGGCAGCACCTATGGACAGGGAGGGGATGTGGCCCGACAGGCAGCCCTGGGCCTGACCCCGTGACAGGCCGGGGACCTGCTCCAGGCCCACCTTGGCCACAGCAGAAGGAAGGAGTCACTTCAGTCTCCTTGGCCTCCAGGTCCCCATCCATACCAGAAAATCTCCAGCAAGAGGAGACGGGCCGGGAGTCGGCAGCTGGGGGAAATGAGCAGAGAGCCCTGTGGGGCGTGGTGGGTGACCTGGGGACAGGACCCACAACACGGCCAGGACAGAGCTGAGGACAGCCTGAGGGCAGGAGGACCCCGATCACGTCCCCGACAGAGGTACCTTCACTCTGTGTACGGCTGTGTCTAGCTGTCCCCCGGAAGCCTCACGTGCTCTTAGGTGGGGCCTTCTCAGAGGTGGCTGGGTCTAGAGTGGGACTGATTCCTGGTGCAGTGCTAGATGCAGCGCACCAGGATTAGGGGTGTGAGTGCTGCCCGCCCCAAGTGGTCTGCATAAGATGAAAAGGGCCGGGAAAGGCTGCTAAGGTCCCTTGTTGCTTTGCTACCTGTGAGTGCCACATTCTGTTTCTCCTCGGAGATGTCTGCCATCCACCCTGCCTTGGAGCCAGCTGACTATGGACTAAGTCTCCACGAACTGTGAGCCAGATAACTTTCCCTTCTTTACCTTTGGGTGTGGGGTATTTTGAGAAAAGTAACTGAGACACTCTGTGGAAATTCATCCAGACGTGAGCTTACAGTGTGCATTTTACCACAGGTAACTTTTAAGAGGATAATTCATGTTTAAATAATACCTTTGTCATCCAAACACTCTCTCCTTCCCCCGATTCAGTGTGCACGTTTTAATACGTTTACTGGATTTATATACTACAGAGGCGACAGAGCCGCACTTATTGGCTTAGCACTACACAGATTTATGTCGCCACACTCCATCACGGAAAAGGCAGGCTAAGTATTTTACAGAATAGCATTCAAACACAGCGTCAAGTGGATCAATAAATTACAGAAAATCCATACCACTAGGTTTATAGGTGGTGCTTTAAAAATAGATCATCAGTTCTATAGCCATGAAGATGAAAATTCCAGGAATCAACTTGGAACGACCCACATACAGTGGCCACCCCGAGTCCTCACACGGGCTCTGCTCTCACCCTAACACTCACGTGCCCCCGACCCTGGGCATCCTCTGGGCTTTGCACTTGGGCAGAGCAACTGGGCAGGCAGTGTCCAGCCTCCATTCAGTGTACAGAACTAGGAAGTGAGCAAGGGATTCCTGGCCCACAGGGGAACGGGACTCACTGTGTTCAGAAACTGCCCCAGCAGCCTAGCGGATGGGGATGTGACTGGGATCGTTCCTAGCATCTCATGGTGCAGCTCCGGAGTTGGCAGCCTTTCTGCTTCTTTCCAGTTGCGACTTGGGAGGAGTCTGTGCATACTGCAGCACCCAGGGAGCCTGAAGATTTGGGGGAACAGCCCTGGGGGATGCAAGCACCAGGGAGGGCATGCGTGGAGATAAGAGTGGGTGGGCTGTACTCCCGCGGGATCTCCAAATGCACAGCCAAGAGAAGCAACTCCTTCATCGGGAAAGGCAAGGGGACCCACTGCCACAGGTGTCCTGGGCCTAAGGAATGTCCTGCCTTAGGTTTTATAGCTCAATTCACTACCTTGTTGATTCGTTTGTCCACTTATTCAGAGTACTCATGGATGCACCCAGCGTGGAGGGGCGGGGTTCGGAGCATCCTGACAGAAGCAGGAGACCTGGAGAGCACTGGGCGGTGACAGCAGCTAAGAAAGGGCAGACAGGAAGTGCTGGGGTGGGTCACGGGGGAGGGTGGATGGGCCTAGAGGTCAAAGCACCTCCTAAACCTTCCCAGGGAAAGCAGTTTCATCTCTGAGGAATGACAAACCCAGGAGAGACTGCAGCCAGGAAGTGACAGTGGATGTCCGTTCTCTCTCCAAAGGTCACCGGGGCTGGAGGGGGGCAAAGAGGTGCCCAGAAGATGAGGAGACAGAGAGGAGAGGACGGGGCAGCCTGGACCTAGATGGGGCGGGGAGGGTGGGACGACACAGCACTGGGAGAAACAGATCCGTCCACCGGAACTATATTCATCCCGCTCTTCCTTCACAGGCACCCCACAGCTACAGCTGTAATAAAAGGGAAAATCCTATGCACAATTACTACACAATTCAGATAATCACCCACTGGTTTATGTGCTCTGCAAGTCAGAGGCATATGTTTTAGTGTCAGGGTTCCTGGGGGTAGGAATTAGGGCTGTAATCCACTTTCCCACAGTATGGAAGGCAGAATTCCAAAGCCCCCCCCGCCCCGTTTCCCCGGGCTTCCAGGTCAACACTAATCTAGGCACAGCTGGGACAACCTCCTCGAAAGAAATTAGGCTGATACCATGTGACATTAAGACAGGGAGATTATCAGATTATCCACTGAGCTCGGTGCCATCACAGGAGCCCTCAGAAGGCAGAGGGGAAGGAGGAGGGGCAGAGATGGGGGGGATTCAAAGTATAAGAAGGACCAGCCCTGAAGGCAGGGACAGCAGGGGCTGCAGCAGCCTCCGGAGCCCAGCTGAGTGGGACCCAGCCATCAGCCTGTGGGGAAACTGGGACCTCAATCCTACCGACACAGGAGAGGCCTCCGGACACCACGACGGGGGCAGGCGGCGATTCCCTGCACGAGTCCCTCCAGGAGCCCCAGGCGGGGCGGGACCAGCTGAGCCCCTGGACTGGGGACAGTGTGTGATGTCAGTGGCTCTTGCTCCAGGCAGCCGAGTTCACAGTCGTGTTCTGCAGCAATGGAAGGCTATGCACCCTCCTCTGGCCTACGCTTCCTGCCCGCTCTCCAGATGGGGAAAGTAAGGCTCAGACGGGAGAAGATCACAAGCAAACCAGAGCACGCTCTGCATGGCCCACACTGCCTGACCCGAAGGTCCTTGCTGTAGTCAGGGTTTGCAAGGGAAAAGATTTAATACAGGACACATAATTTATAGAAATATTTTGTAATAGTCACCCAAAAAGTCATATGCAGAGGAGCAAAGGATCCAGCCAAGGGCCTGGATCCCACAGCAGTGTCCCCCACAAGTCCAGCTGAAGCCCCAGAGTCCAAGGCAATATCCTCCAGGAGTCCAGCCAGAGGCCTGAAGCCCACAGCAATGTCTCAGGCTTGTCCGTATCGAGGATCTGCACCAGGAAGGCCCAGAGGCCAGCGGCGGAAGCCAGACAACCTTCGCTGGCAGGGTGAAGGGTCTGCCCCACCAGGCTGAGGGATCCGCACTGGAGCCACATGAAGTGAATATCAGGGCTCCCCTGACGAGAACAACAGCCATTCCCAGCTACAGCGAGGCCCCGAGCTCCTCAGATGAGAGCAGCCACGTTCGCATCAGGAAAACCAGCTGCCCAAGCTTCTAGACAATCAACAGCCCCGGATCTTCCCCTCCAGTCCTCCTTTTATGCCATTGGCAACAGTCCTCAGGTAAGCCTTCCACACCTGCCCACCTGCTTCAGCTCAGCTGGGTGCTCCAAGTTGCCATTAGTCTATCTGCCACAGTCTTCCTACTTCTCCACACCCACTCCTGCTGCCCAGCTTTGAGGGTGCTGAGGAGAAGGCCAAGTTCATGCCCAGTGTCCACCGAGGCTCGGAGGAAAACAGGAGAGAGCCACCCTGGCATCCCCCAAGGGCATGGCTCCCATCTGTTCCTGGGTGGGGCTCCTTTCTGCCACCAGCCTGCTTGCTTTCAGGGCAGGCTCCAAGGAACAGCCAGAACTGGGGCATCTTTCAAGGCCCCCTGAATTAGGCACCAAGGAGACCTCACAACGGGCTGCTGTCAGACACTTCTCAGAACAGAAGGCAGAGAACAGCGATTGTGATTTATGAGAGGCGGGACAGTAAGATGGCTAGGAATCCAGAATCTGCCCAGGTTCAAAGTCAGCTCCCTACCTGTGACCTTGTGCAAGTTGCCCAAGCCCTTGAAACCTCAGTTTTCCACATCCCGTCACTGGGCTCACGCCAGGGTGAGGCTCCCCTCCCCGGAGAGGTGCAGGTGAGCGAGC